AGCCTCACTTTTAACACTGTTAACATGATTGGACAACTTGTTTAGTGAACAGTTAACAAGTGAACTATGTATACATATATTTGATAATTTGGATGTTCGATTACATATTTTTGATAAGGCTTGAACCACTTTTACTTGGGAAACGGAATTATTTAAAGTTCAATCTTAGGGGTTTTTGCAGCTATAGTTTTCCTCCTTGATGAATTGAGGCTTATTTTTTAAGAGGAGGTTCAAACTGTCAACATTCCAGAGATTTTAGTGTGAATCTGAATATTACATGGTTTTTACATTATCTCATTTAATCGAAGTTGTAAGTGATCAAATAAATAGAACAGACAATATGATCTAGCTGTTTCCGTAATGCTACACCTATTCTTTGTGTAATCAAACTACTAGGTTGACTGATGTACCAAAATATCACAATCTATCGCTTTATATCCTGTCTTTTACTATTTGATTAAACCTTGATAAACATTTCAATGTAACACTTTGTTACGTGATACTTTCTATAGATTACTATTCAATATAAAGCAATTGATTTTTCACGCAAATACATAATCATGTTGACTTCGTAAAACAAGGTAAAATAACATTGAGTAAGATCATTGTAGGAGGTATTTTAGAGATTATCCATTTTGTATATTTACATTATAGACTGATTAACTATACAAATAGTAATAACCAGTCAGGACTTGGCAACTATCCACAACATAGGACTTGTTTGTATTATGTCATCAAATCTCGTGAGAAGAGCACGTTAACTTCAAATTTTTCATTCAGTGCTTCACAGTCCCAACAAAATGATTTATTTAAAACTGTATTAACCCTATCAGTCAGACTTGAGATAGAGGAGTCAAATATTAGTTATTCATAGTTTGGTTATGACTATGGGACTCATGATGATTACAGCCGGTATCGAATTTGGTTGCAGAAGACAGACGGCTTTAATATAATCGAGTCACAATCACAATATTAGGTAGTAAATGTATGGTACAGTAAGGGACTCTAATAACTAATAATAATGGTAATGATAATACTTTATATTCTGAAAATTACTCCACACTACACAACAGTTTACGAGCTTGACCAAATAGATATAAATTGCTATGTAACCCTTGTGAAAAATGTCTAATTTTACGTTATCTGGATAAACATGGCTTGCAAGTAACTTTGGTTAGGACAAATTCAGATTAATGAATACTAAACAATAAGTGTAATGGAAGGTGTGAAAATGTAGAGTTAAGTGGTATTGCAGTATAGCATTTAGTGGTATTTTTACAGTTCAAGGCTTACCTTGAATAAATTATTTCGCTTGAGATGTTTTCAGTCCTTTTTGGTGATCTTAGGACATATAATTATAGGGTTGAAAGAAATCTTTGCTTTGCTTTCCGACTCCTGAATGTTTCATGAATTCAATCCTCTATAAGGATAAATATGTAGGGTCATGTCATAAACTGACCATCTCGTTATTTTGTCCTCTTGAACTTTGTGGAAAAAGCTGAGAAGTGGTCAGTTTATGATATGACACCTTGGTATAAAAGGAAGCTTTTCCGTCTGTCGGTCAATCAGAACTCTAGTTTAAGTCATAAAGTATATGCGACTCAGTGATTCTAGATGTTACAAGTTATGGCTCGGAGCACAAGCCAATGACGATTTATAGGAGTGAGAACTTGTCTTACTGAAAGAATTATTCCTGGTTGTATTTTGTAAATAAATTATCTGTCCTGTTATATACCGCTCTGTTCCATTTATTTTGGTTATACTTTCTCACCTCTCTTTGTCTTTTTATGATTCTATTTTCTTATTTGTGTGATGCATATTTATTTTGGGGCCCAGTTGCACCAGCATCTATGTATTTTAAATAAATAAATAGATCTAAGATCTAGTATTCTGAGAAGCTTGTTAACATCGAGTCGCTGGTTTGAGTCTGTAACATCGTATTATTTACCTCTTAATGTCATAAGCGAGAATATTACCTCTCCATTAAACTACTATTACCTCAGTAGAATAAACCTTATTCTTTTAAATTAAGAAAAACACAAGTACTAGCTCGTATTAAAAATGAGAATGCTGTTCAAGTTTTACTTTAAAGTAGTAGACAGTTTTTAGTGATACATACATTAGTAAATGTCATTATCCTCATTAAGGGTATGACTTGAATCCACTATTTAAAGTGGAATTTACTAAATTACAGAATTATAATACGTCTTTGATATTCAGTAGAAACTGGTTTTTGTTAAAGCTAAATATTTTTACTGCTAAAATTTACTTATCTGTATAGCTTATTTGAAGAAATATTTACTGTTGATTAATGAAATCACGTTAACGCCTATATTTACATACAAGTCGCTTAAAAGCTTAGTCATAGGGAATTGAAGTGAATGTAGTGTGAGTCACTCCATTACCATTGTTTGTGATTTCAGTGTATCACAATCCTTTGAATATGGTTTCATGTGAATATTTTCATTATGTTTAAAATATATCTTTCATCAAAATAGTAATAACTCACATTTATTTATGATTAAAATGTATCTTCTAATAAATTAAGAAGCCAATATTAGCACATAAACGAGATTTCTAGACTATAGAATCTTAGAAAACATCTTTGTTTTGGTAATATTATCTCTGTAGTACATCTTGAACAGTCTGACTTTATATCGACTTGTTCAGAATTTTTTATTATAAAGTTCACACTAGACATAAAGATGGGTAATCAAATAATATCGATAGTTCTCATACAACATAAGTGAGAAATACAAAGCAGTATATTTACAATCCATAATGAGTATCTGTTGACCATGATAAACTATATTAACTAGATGTATTATGTTAATTTTAGAAATAAGGTTTATGCTTTCCACAACAAGAATGCTGAATATGAATTAAACCAGATTTATTAATTTTTAATAGCTAACAATTTTGAAGATTTTCATGAACTTCTATTAATGAGGAAAAGTGTTAATTGAATTTAGAACATTTCTAATTTCATTATTGGAAGTAAAGGATTATAACTAGATATGCGTAACCTAAATTATTAGGTTAATTTAAAATTAATTTCCTTTTATTATGTTAAGTTAATTCAGATTTCATAAAATAGGATTCTACATTTAATTAATGAACAATACGAAAATAATATGAACTGATCAACATTAAAGATCATAATTTGTTGAATTAATCAATTAGTACTTTTAGCAAAATAAATACATGAAGATGATGTATTGGTTATTTTTATAATTTCATTGACTTGATTAACCAAAAAGATTATTAATTGTATATGCTTAAAATAAAATCATGAATTGAATTAATTCCCAAACGAAGGATTTCGCAAGAATATATGTAATAGAGATGAGTTTCGGTTGCAGAATTGTTGGATTATGTACACTATTAGTATTCCAGAAGTAAAACATTTAATTGTAAACTGTATGAGTATACTTCGCCATCATACATAAGAAATTTAGTATAGTCGTGTAAGTGTGAGAAATATTTAAATTATCTGATATGACTTTATATACCATCAAACTTACAACTAATAAACACATAAATGACCTGAACAATATAAAAATTATAGACGAATCCTCTTTCAAAGCTAAACTTAATAGTTAGTCTAAGATGGCTAAATATATTGATCATACATGTCTAGTTTCTGGATACCTGTTTAGACCCTACCCACCTTCGACATCTTTATCGATTACGGTAATCTCACACAGACATATACAATGAACAGCTTGGATGCAACTAGACGATATGGACTTCACAGATGACCTGACCCTTCGATCCCATACACACCAACAAATGCGGGTCAAGACAACCAGTTTAGCAGAAGCCTCTGCATCAGTAGGCCTTGATATATACAAAGGAAAAAGCAAGATCCTCAAATGCAACACAGAGAGCACCAACCCAATCATAATTTGATAGATACATTATGGAACAGGTGGAAAGCTCCACTTATCTGGGCAGCATCATCGACGAACAAGGAGGATCCGATGCAGACGTAAAGATAAAGATTGGCAAATCAAGGGCAACGTTCCTACAGCTGAAGAGCATATGGAACCCAAAACAAGTGTCAACCAATATCAAAATCAGAATCTACAATACGAACGTCAAGACAGTTCTACTGTATGGAGCTGAGACTTTGAGAAATACCACAACCATTACCAATAGAGTTATGTATATACAACGTCCCGTTTTCTCCCACACAAATGGTACGTTAATTTAGTTTAGATAAATATCTACACTAGATACTGTCCCAGTGTTTATTCGACAGGGCGTCAGTACAACCTGGATTAAGGACACGTAACTGGCCTAACTAGAATGTGAGTATATCTCCACGTCAACAAGCATAATAATAAAGATAGGAAAATATATAACTCATCTAATATATATATATATATATATATATATATATATATATATATATATATATATATATATATAGAGAGAGAGAGAGAGAGAGATAAGAACAAGAGAAGGAATATCGAGGCATCAATTAGCGTATTTAAAGAACCTTTCTCACATTGGACCAAATGGTATCATAGCTCGATATGGTACCATCCATCATATATTCACTGAAGTTATTAGCGATTTAGAAACGATATTCTGACCTTTTGTGTTAAAAATATTTGTTGTTAAACTTTAGCTTCTCCAATAATAGCAGTAAACAACACAAGTCCTTTCCTCTCTTAACTACGATTTCAATTCAGTGAACTTATTTTGAAATATCTGTCATTTTTTCTTACCAACCTGTTTTTAGAAATCCGATTACAAGGCATAATGGAACCATCTATCCCAATATTTCAAAAACATCACCTCAGTTGATGAAAAATCTTCCTTCAGAGTTATTTTTCACCTTCGAATAGCGTTCTACTTCTTTTTTCCCCAGACAATTTATTGAATGATTCGTATCTGAATTTCCGATTATGTTAATAATTCAATTTACTGGCATAAATGTAACTGAAGAGAACACAATAAAACTCAATAAATTGATAATATTGTCTACAAACCCTGTCGTTCTTTGTTAGTACTAATATTTTTGTACAAATCATTAAGCGTACGCTATAAGGACCGAACTGTTATCAAATTTGTGATTGCAACATTTACAAACAATCTACTTACATAGTGCTCTGAATCGATACAGCCAGAAAAACCACGATATTTGGTGGCCGAACATTGAAATGTAAGCATAAAACTGAAAATCTTTCAAGTAGTCTATAAAAACTAGGAAACACAAGAAAGATTCAATTTTATTATGTGGAGAGTTGTTATGAAGATAATACATTTACAATTTAATTGGCATGTGAGCCTTTTACTAATAAAATGAAGCGCAATAAGTGATTCTCACTATAGAAATAATAAGAGACCGGTACTAATAGTAATTTTTTCTAACAACGAAAAAGTGATCTAATTAAATCCATACTAACATGGATACAAGGGCAAAAAAATAATAATATGGACTGTAAAAATGCTTGCTAAAATACTTATAGTACACGATAGTTAAAAAATATTATTAAACTATAGGATACTGTAACGCAGATTTTAGGAAAAAAATAATCTAAAAGGAATAAATTGTTCTCTTCATGTCGGGAGAAAGAGGTTAGTTTGTTTATTACACATAAGAAAACAGACAGACTACGATGGAGAAAGATACAATAAAATTAAGGGTTACTAACAATCATATTTGAATGTCTAGACCATCTAAAAAGAATATAACAAGCGACTAGAGTAGAAGTTAGAGAGACGGCATTATGCAGTATTTTTCGTCTTCCATCATCTCGATGAACTAAAACCACTGGACGTAATGGAGGACTATTTGAATTGGAATGATTCTCTGCAATGATAGCTCGAGCGCGCTTTCCATTGCTTATTTCCGAAGAACCACTGAGGCTTTCACCGTTGCTCATTCCGCTGCCTGGCGAATTATCATCTGGATGTGAATTCGTCAAGGCATGACTACTACTTGTTACAAAGGAAGCTGTTCCAACTGGCAGAGATGCTAGCGATGGTGCAACTTGATACTTACAGCATGGATCCCATTGCCAAAACAATGCGTATAATCCTGCAGCAGAGGCACTAATTGCACTCAATGTAGTTGTAATAAATCGTATAACACTTGGTGTGATTGTAATCAAGGCACCACTTGTTCGAACAGTAGGAAACAAACGAATACCGAGGTCTAACGGAAAGTATATTTTAGAAAATGTAGAATTCCACATCAAACCAATGCCAGCTGTAGTTACAGCAGCTATTCCTGTGAAAACGATAAGCAAATTTAAAACGAAACATATTCAGTTATTGGTCATCAGTATTATATATTAACAAAAGTCAATACACATTCTAAATATTCCTACAAATAAATCCGTTACGATCGATCTTTTTAACTTACATGTGTCAAAATAATTGACAAATCAACACTCATCACCAGTAAGTTAAAAAATGATGGCCGTTTTTGAAAGATAAAAATTTATATTTACATTTGTAAGAGTATGGAATGAAACTACGCACGACCATATATGTTTGGTAAAAACATTAACAATATTCATTCGCATTTTAGAATCTGTAAATAAGTACAAATATTAATCTTTAGGTCATAGCTACTATATGAAGAATGTAGATACCAACGGGGCACCCAAAATGAAGCATACGAAGAAAGGTTTAGACAGGCAGTTTGGTAATTCGAAATCAAGTACCGTTACGACTGAGCTATAACCCCATAGGAATGTTAAGGTTATCTAACAAATGAGCACATGTTACTGGTCACTAAACTTTATTCATCGTTATGTGCCATCTACTCGTGTATGGGTATCCCTAGCAAGTATTGGATCTGGCTGACAATGAAAAGTGAATACTTGACTGTGTTTCAATTCAATACTCAGAAGGTATCTGAAATAATGGGTGAATTAATGCAAATTAAGTAGAACAGTATAATAGTTAAGGCTGTCAGACAATAGTATCTACATTTATTCTTTACCTTGTAAACCTTGAGTTTTATATCATATTCTATATTTCACTGTTGACCACATTTATTCTTACTGAGTTAAATTTTTAATATTTAGACTCCCAATGAAGTTGATGTTACTTACCCTCATATGTTACTTAAATTAGTAATTTCTCTTCCTGTTTCTTTAGATACTAAGTTTGCAAATTGTCTTAGTTTTTTTACTACCCCACGAATTAGTATTTCCTTATAGAATTGTATATTCTGCAATTAATATTTCCTATTATCGGAAATACTGTTACCACATCTACTACTCCACTATTTATCTTGATAATTTGATCCCGTTGTACTGATGTGGTGTGAAAACTTTTAAAGAAGCACATGTGCCCCAGCTTCGACGTTGTTCATGAATGACTCGCTACGCTGATGTAAATTGTGGGAATTTAGACAATCAGACATTTTTAATACATCTCACGTTGTTTATGGATAATTTTTGCTACAGTCACTTGGGTATAATTAACGAATTGTAAAACTGGATATTATTTTAACCTTACTAATATGAATGCGGCATTTTTGACTCTGCAACATCAACGAAATGGTCAAAACCACGATTCCGTTTAGCAAACAAACAGATCCTAGGCATATGATGTACACAATACAGTCATCTCCCATTCAGCATTGAGTGGGGAGAATCCCTACGAAGTAATCGTGTACTATGACGATAAAGGTTTAAACAGTAGCTTTCGGAACACATAACTCGGGAAACAAGGTGAGATATTTTGTAGACAGTTATCAGTAAATAAAGCATTTCATTATTTTGAATGCAGTAAAAAATATACAATGAAACTATAATTGGCGATGATGGTAAAATGCTAAAAATCTTACCTGATATAACAGCTGTTTTATGTAACCAGTTACCCGTACGAATCCATCGCCATGTTACTTCACCGAGAGATTCTGGTTCAATAATGACCATACACACTTTACGACTTAGTACAAAATCTAATTCACGTTCAAAGTCTTCAGGAGAGTGGCTATGATTGTATATTGCACGAATGATGGCATATGTCTTCTTTCTATTGACAATAGCCTTAAAGAAAACCCGAACGTTTTGTTTAATGAGTCATAATGATACAAAACTAGGCTTTACAAACTCAGTCGGTGAATATTTAAGTAAAAAAGGACAACAGAGCAATGACAAGCTAACCACATAAACAATATATTTTTGAGAACACAGCGGTACCACAAATCCTAAGCATTAAGATACAAAACGTCTATCTGTATTTGACCATATATATAAGTAAACTAGAACGAAGTTTGTTATTTTCTACAACAATGATATAAAATGAGTACAAATAAAACGTGGAAACTTGATTTATTGCATTTTGGGAAGTTGATACTTTTTGGTCGCTCACTGGTGGAGTTAGAGATTTGTGATTTGAGGTGTTGATTTTAAGTTAAATATTTTCCAATCGTCCCTACTTTTTCAGCTTATCTGAATGTAATAACAATGTTTAATAAACAAGGTACGGCCGAGTGTGGTAGAGTCAGCTTTCCCTTTCGAAATGCTCTCACAGTCAGTCAGTCAGTCAGCTACAACGTAGGACCAGGCACATATGTGCATCGGTCCAGGTTGTCATACCTCATTAGCACAGCACGATGAACACCAGATTCATTGGAGTGGTTAAGTCAAAGGTGGCAATATATAGGAGAAAGATTGTAATAAGTATATAGTATAGGAAGAAAGAATTAGTTAGTAGAAAGAAAGATATGAAGTGATTTTATTCTCTTAGATTAAGGGAAGACAGAGAGTGTATACACCGACGCTATTGTGATCGATTCTGAGCCGTGTCACCAAGAGTCTCCAACCATTAGTTACGAAAGTCACGCGGACCCCAACCAAGTAGTCTGCATCTACCAACATGGCTCAGACTAGAAGTTAGTGTCTTCAAGCACTGATGCCACGTTTTCGTTTGGCCGCCCCTAACTTTCTTCCAACCATTTCCAATACCGGATAGCATTGCACGACGTGGTAATCGGTGTTCAGGCCTACGTAACACGTGGCCTAACCATCTCAGTCGATGAAGATTAACAACCTCATCAACTGATTTACCATCATTCCCTAATACCCTGCGTCTAACCTCACTATTACTTACCCGGTGATCCCAGCAGACGCCAGCAATATTTCTGAGGCATCTGTGGTCAAATACTAGTAGCTCACGGGTGTCTTCTACTCTTAAAGACCATGTTTCGCTGCTGTAAAGTAAAACAGAACGGACTGCCGCGCAGTATACTCGTCCTTTTATTGATAGACGGATATCTCGCCTTCGTCATAGTTGACGTAAGTTGGCAAAAGCCAAACGAGCTTTTCGAATCCGTGCTGAGATTTCGTCCGATACCAGCCCATTAGGGCTGATCAGACTTCCAAAATAAGTGAAGTTGTCAACGCGTTCGACCACTTCACTCCCTATCCTTAAATCAGGTGTTGACACAGACCAGTCGTGAAGCAACAACTTGCATTTAGAGGGAGAGAAGCGCATTCCAAACATTCTGGCATTGTTGCTTAGTGCTACCAAAACACCCTGCATTTTATCAGCGTCTTCACCAAACAGGACTATATCATCTGTGTATTCTAATTCGATAAGTGGACATCCTAGAAGGAGATCAATACCCGAGAATTCGATAGACGAGAATGTTATTTCCATCAATAGGTCTATGATGAAGTTAAACAGAAATGGAGAAAGTGGACAGCCTTGACGGACACCACTTGAGGTTGCAAAAGTAGATGACAGTTCGCCATAAGCTCTGACTCGACTAGTAGTGTTCGAGTAAAGGGCCTTTACAAGGTTTATGCACTTCTGAGGTACGCCTTTCAGTGACAGACACTGCCACAGAATCTCGCGGTCTACCGAGTCAAATGCTGCTTTTAAGTCAAGAAAGACCACCATTGTCGGACGTCGATAAATATGCCTATGTTCTAGAACCTGACGAATGGTGAATATGTGGTCGATGCAGCCACGACCAGGTCTGAAGCCAGCTTGGTACTCTCGTGTTTGCATTTCACGAGTCTAAGTTAGGTGTTTGAAAATTATCGAGGCTAGTATTTTAGATACTATATTTGTTAAACTAATCCCTCTGTGGTTGTCACAGGATGATTTTGACCCTTTCTTATATATTGAGACGATAAGTGATTGCGACCAGTCAGATGTGATAACGTCTAATTCCTAGATCTTAGCTAAAATATTAGTCAACATAATCGCTAAAATTGGACTACCATCCTTAAAGACCTCTGGAGCCAATCCATCTGGATCAGCTGCCCTTCCTCGTTTCAGATTAACTATAGCCTTCTCAACTTCAGCAAGAGTTGGGGGACCTACTTCAATGTTCCATTCACATTGTCTGGGAATGGAGGGTAGTTGTAGAGTAGCTGAAGGCCAGTTGAACTGTCCTCTAAAATGTGTCCGCCCATCGTTCTAAACGTCTGGACTGGGAGCAGATGAGAGTATCGTCTTTTTCCGAAATAGTCTGACTTACACTTGACTTATTAATTCCAGTTTCTTTTATTAGTCTGTAAAGCTGTCTTGTGTTCCCTATAGGCGCCGCCTTTTCCATCTCTTTTGCTTTCGTAACCCACCACTGCTCACAGTCGTTCCTTAGACTTTTGCTTAACTAGATCTGATTTGTTGTCGCTCTTCATCGTGTTCAGAGCCTGATGGGATGAGTTTACGAGAATCCATCAGTGCAATAGACCTTAAGCAAATCCATTGGTTCTTTGTAACCCTGTGGTTCAAATCACTGATAGATGTCACTGCTGTTTCCATAGCTGTTTGTATATCTTTTTAAGCAACATCTGGGTCAGCCTCGTTTCCAAAACTACCTAATTGTGACTTCAGTTGTTCCTGGAACTTACTTTTGGTTTTCTCGCTGCTCAATTAAGTTCTAATGGGTCTTCTTACTGAGGATATTTTGCGTCCAGTGAGGCGCAAGCAGATGCGTGTCCGTATTAGAAAATAGTCGGAGTCCAAGCAGGTCAGTCAGTAACAACGTAGAACTTCGTATGTACGTACATCAATTCGAGTTGCCACACCACATTAGCACAGAGATGCCGTGGTCGATTCAAATCCCGTAGTGGTAGAGGTGATAAGAGTATAAGCAGTAATCGGAAAGATTAGTGTTTGGAGATGTTACTTAAAGAGTATAATACAGTGAAATAAACTTGGGAAGATAAAAAAAAGAGACAAGGGGGAATCAGGAGATCAAAATTTGGGAGAACACAAAGAGTGGATGTACCTGCTCACACCATTGCAAACGATTTTAAGCCATGTCATTCAAGGTCTCTAACCATCGGTTGCTATCATCTCGCGGTCCCCAACCAGGTAGTCTACACCTACCAACATGACTCAGACCACTTGTCAGTGACTTCATGGATTTGTGCCATGTTTTGGTTTGGCCACCCCTAGCTTTCTTCCAACCTACTCCTATACCACTGAACATCGCACGTCGAGGCAGTCGGTCGTTGGGCATACGTAACACGTGTCCCAGCCATCTCAACTGATGAAGTTTCACTACTTCATCAATTGATTTGCCATCCTTACCTAGTACCCGTTTCCTAACAACTGCATTACTTACTCGATGGTCCCATGATATACGAGCAATGTTTCGAAGACACCTATGATCGAATACTAGTAACCTACGAATATCCTCTACTCTTACCGGCCATGTTTCACTGCCATAAAGTAGGACGGGACGTACTGCTGCGCAGTAAACACGTCCTTTGGTTGGTAGACGGATATCTCGCCTACGCCATAAATGACGCAAGTTGGCAAAAGCTAGTCGAGCCTTCTGTATCCGTGCTGAGATTTCGTCACATACCAGACCACAAGGGCTGATGAGACTTCCAAGATAAGTGAAGCGATCGACACGCTCAAATACTTCACTACCTATCACTAGTTCGGGTGTCGATGTAACCCAATCCTGAAGCAACATTTTGCATTTCGAGGGAGAGAATCGCATCCCGAACATGCTTGCATTGTTGCTTAGAGTGGTCAGAAGACTCTGCATTTTGTCAGCGTCTTCACCAAATAAAACTATGTCATCAGCATATTCTAACTCAACAAGTGAACCTCCCGGTAGAAGTTCAACCCCTGGAAATTTAGATGAGGAGAGTGTTATCTCTAAAAGTACGTCGACCACAAAGTTGAACAAGAATGGAGAGAGTGGACAGCCCTGACGAACACCACTTGATGTAATCAATTCTGATGACAGTTCGCCATAAGCTCTCACTCTACCAGTTGTGTTCGAGTAGAGAGCCTGAATAAGGTTAATGTACTATTTGGTACTCCTTTCAGTGACAAACACTGCCATAGAACCTCACGAACAACAGAGTCGAATGCCGCCTTAAGGTCGAGAAATACTACCATTGTGGGGCGCCTGAATGTGTGTCTGTGTTCTAGAACCTGACGTACTGTGAATATCTGATCTATACAACCACGTCCAGGTCGAAAACCGGCCTGGTTTTCTCTAATCTGCTCTTCACGAGCTTTGATTAGGCGTCGAAGTATTATTGAGGCTAATATTTTAGACACTATATTTTTATTTATTTAAACACATAAATAATGGTACAAAGAGGCACCAAATACATATGCGCCACACATATCTCATTCGATATGTGTGAGGGCTGTGATACTGCCCGGGTGCCCAAACCGAAGCAGGTGGTTTTCTTAGGGGGCCACACCCCGAGCCTTCGACCTGAGGGTCTGATCCACAAGGCAGTGGAGCATCGTAAGGAGATGCAGTCCCATGGAAGCCGGTGACCAACAATTGGTTCATTCGCCATTTGTTCCTGCAGGATACTGGAGCCCATGTGCACCATTGGTTTGGAATCCGGTTAAAGCGCCGGACATTCGCTTTTCGTCCTCTCATTTTCGTAAACAACACCTCGGCCACGAGAAGGCAGTGAGTAGGACTTCCCTGGTAGAGGCTATATACGCGTGGCCGTGTGAGAGTATTTCGAGAGGGAGAGCGGACTCCCTACTCTCGGTCGTACCAGGGCATTTGGGAGTCGAAAACCGGCCTGGTTTTTTCTAATCT